ATCAGACCACTTCATCTGAACAATATGCCATGCTCTATTTCCCTTTCTAAGAGCTCTTCAGAGCTGGTCATACATTGCTCACGTTCTAATGCTGCGTGGAGTAAGTTTGCAAGTCTGTAGTTAAGCTCCCACTTCTTGGGTAAAACCATGAAACGTTGTTGTGGGACTTCCCTTTTAAGATAAGGATATCTTCCCGTCCCAGATGTTGCTAGAGTTGTGTTAAACTATACCAACTATGGAATAAAGGAGAAATGCATACTAACTTGGGATTAATTTTTATTTTTGTGCATAATTATTATGCATCATTATTATTATGCATACTAACCTGGTATTATTAATTATTATAAGCTGAATAGTAGTTGTGAGGAACTACCAATAACATCAGGAAGACTGGATGTACTCCAAGGAATTTCCTCTGGGGTCCACAGTCTCTGATTGACTGTCTTTTCATTTGATAACTATTCTATCCCTGCTGCAGCTGCTGAACAGGATGGTGATAAACCTGAACGGCATTGCCTCTGGAGAGAGAACTTGTATATAATGATGTATTGTCAATATGTAAGGCAATGCAGATACAGCACTTAAGGTTTTTTCTTCCCATAATGTTTTTTCAGTGGATTTTTCCCTCTGGTTATAAGGAAGTTAGGAAGGCTCAAGAAATTAAATTTTAGCCCTAACAATCAAAATCTCCATAAAATCAATCTTCTCTTCTGAAAGTTGTTACACTGGGTTTTTCCATAATGGACATATACACACACAGACTTAAGTCTTACACCAGCGTTAGGAGAGTTTCTTGCACTCACAGATTTTTAGAGGGCTTTTTCCCCTTGTGATGTGAGGGAATTCACGAGCAATGATGCCAAGTGTCTTGTCTCCTGGATACATATCAGACATGTCTTATGCTTAATCTGAAATTAAGCTTAAAATGCTGAAACTTCTGGTTGAATAGGGTTAGTGTTTTTACAAGGCAAAGCATATAGGTCTCGCTAACCTATGCTTTCCATTGAACTTCCATGTAACTTCTTGGTAGAAGTTGAATATGAACATCATTTTTGAGAGCAATATTCTCCAAAAGGCTTTAACCAGATTTCGCTAGAGGTTTTTTTGGTTGTTATTTTTCCTGACTCAGTTTTGTTCTTTAATGATGCAGAAAAAAATGATCATTGATAAGAAGATTGAGAATGAGAGGAAAGCCTCCCTGCAATATATATCACTGCTGACTTGAGCCAGGACTCGAGCAAAGATTTTCTTTTTGTGGGCTGCTGCTTTTTATGCGGAGCCTTTCAATATAGTCATGACATGATTCACCCTAACTGGAAACTGCTGTCGGAGACTCCTCTACCAAAAATGGAGTTTAATATTCACAGCCCATGATAACACAAGCAGAACGAACCAAAGGGCATCGGTGCTGTTTGCTGAAATTCTGGTACATCTCAGAGTTCAGCTGTCTGAAGTTGATAGAATTGAGATTGGAACTGGTCCTCAGTCCAGAAGTGTGTTTCGCTACAAGTGTTTTTCAGCATTACTTTTCTCTTTTTGCAGTGCACTATATTTGATCTTCCGCTGTGAGACAGGCAAGACAATTAGGACTGTGATGCTATGGTAATGAGCGCATAGAGATGGTAGCAAGCTCTATATTTAGGCTGCCTTAACATTTCCACTCTGAAGTAATCACTCAAGCTCTCCTAAGTACTCTTACTCAGCTACTGTTGGCAGCAGGCATTTGAAATGCAGCCTCAGACACAGTCTTGGGAATTAGATGTCTCTCTATGAAATTTTGCTCAGGTCTGTATGAGTTACAAGGCTTTTGAAAATTGCCATTTCTCTTCTCTCACTGGCTGTAAAAATAACAGGAATGTACGTTCTGAAGAGCTGGGCTCAAAATGACATTTGCAGGACCAGCGGCGAGTCCACGGGGCTGTGCGGGAGCTTGCATCAGGAGCATTTTAGAGAATGACAGACCATGGACGTGTCCTCCAAATGCTACTCCAGACATATGTGTCCCCAGACATATGCGTCCCTCACCATTAGACCTGTTAGATTAGGCATAGCATTAGGTTAATGTGACTGTTGTGGCCAGACTTAGACTGGGATCTTTCTGCATGATTTCAGTGCACAACAAATGCACAGATTACCATTACCTTAGATTTCCATGTGCTGTAGAGGAGACCTGTATCTCAAGCAGGCTACTAAGCATTTCTTTCAGAAGCCACCTCCTTATCATCCATCAGTCATCGGTTTTGAGGCAACAGATAAAGATGTGCAGAACAAGATTAGGGGTAGCTTACAGCATTGCATTCTTCCACCACGCCCTCTCCTCACTGGGGGCTATTCCCACAAAGGCCTTTTGTAAGTGAAATAGAGCTCTTTGCTCCAACCAAAGCCAGTCTAGATGTTTCCAGAGAGGTACAAATAAAGAGGGCTTCTCTTCCTTCCAATGTATTTTTCCTAATCTCGATGACCCTATCTAAGAACAGATGGGTCATCAGTCACAACTGTTTCGTGCCTCAGACCAGCTACTAAGATCTGGGTGAGTGCACCTTCCCCTTTTTCTGGCTGTAATCTCTCCCTGTGTGATATTTAGACCAGTGAGGAAGAAAAGACTTATATTTATTCTTCCTGTTTTCAGGGAACCAGGACTCACACTATTCTTTCTACATTAATACTGTGACATGAAATAAATGTTTGTCTTCATTGTAAGCTTTCCTTTACACAGAAGTAGCCAACAGGACTCTAAATTTTGGCTGGCTGCTAAGGTCAGGAAGGCATAAATACTTATATGAAACTCTTTTGCAGTTTATTATTCCTAACCTTTCATTTTAACTGGCCCTGAATGAGTAGGAGTCTTTCTGTTTACAAAAGGAAAGAAAGTGTGATCATACGTGTTTGTAACAGCTCTCAAGAGTCCTGTTCTGTAATAGCCTTATTAATGTTTAAAATGGGAAAACAAAACCCAAATATTTAAAGTAAGAACACCACTCACTTTATATAGTGCTTTCCATCTAAAGATAGACCCAAGTGAGATCTAACCGAGTACTGTCTTGTCGGGCTTTCAAAGCCAAAACAAAACAAGCAAATTAACTGAAGTTGGCTTTGCCAATCTCTTTAATTACTGCTAGGATAATGAGATCAGGTTTTCTCATTTTGACAGTGTCACCACGAAACTGGAGGGCATTGTGGAATATTAAGTGATCTTTTAATTATGGAAGAACAGTTCAACTGCAACCCTAAAGTCATGCAAGCAAAAGGTATTTTGATCAGAGTTGATTGGAGGAGGCTCGAGGAACGGAAATTTCAAGTTAAGATGTGGCTGCTATGAAATTAGCACTTGATACATTGTAACCCACAATTGTAAAAATCGTTCCTCTAATTTGTTTGGTTTTTTTATATAGCTTGTACTTAACCTGCTTGCTCTTCAGCGAAGCATGTAACGGGGCTGTGAAGGCAAGCCTGCGTAAGCAGCAGTGTACGTTCAGAGCAAGAACTGCCACTCGCGCGAACAGTCAGTGCAAAATCACAGCAGAGGGCTCGGCTGCTTTAAGTAGAAGCCTATAAATTGCATTTTGTTTCACCATCAGAAATGTGAAGTGCAGCCCCTCCTCAATACTTCAGAGATTCAGGTTTCAAATGTCAAATGCTCTTAAGCTAGGGTTAGCCTGAGCTGATGCTCTGGGGCTGCGAGGTTGCGCTTCCTCGCTCTGCCTGCGCTGAAGCATGCAGGGACGGAGGGTGTTGCGCTGCTGCCAACAGGCTGAGAGCACGGCAGGCTGATTCCTACTCGGGGTTTGTTTGTGTGACAGTAGCATCTAGAGGTTTCAAAAGGAATTAAAGCCCACTTTGCTAATGGCTGCACGTAACATTACAGTCCCTGCCTTAAAGGATAGACTGAAAATAGACAGGAGAGGAAACATAAACCCAGGCTGAGATTGCAAGCAAGCAACCTTCTCTGTGTGCCTTACTTGGTAGACAATGCTCTGGCCTCTCACCCATCCCTGTTTGACCTTAGGAGAACTGAATGGAGTTTACAAAAGCTATTTGGGGTAGAAATCATTAATCTCTTAATAGCCTGTGGCCATATTTGTCCAAGAACAGAAGAGATAACTTTTCCGAGCATTAGCCATGCCACAGGTTGGGTTAGGTGGATCCTTACTGTTACCAAAGTCACCCTGTCACTGTTCACCACTGAAGACCAAAGTGCACGAAAAATACCGCAGCGTGACAGAGCTGTGACCGCCGTGCTTGGATTTGGTTTTACTGACACAGCCTCTGGATTTCCCGTTTGGAGTCTAATGGAGCGCTCAGCAGGGAGGCTGGGAAGGTGATTTTCTGCTCTGTGAGTTGGACGCGCCTTGCAGCTGCGCAGGCCAGGTGCCGTGCCAGCAGCGCAGCATTTCCCTGGGAGGGAGCAGCTTCTGCTCTGCCCTTCACATGGCTTGACCTGACGACCACCCTCTGATCTTCCTCCACAGCTGAGCCATTACAAAAGCCGTTGTGTTTTTGTCAGAAGACTTGGGTCTCTGCTAGTGTTAAATCTAAGCTGCAGCAGCATAACCATGAAGTGGCGTCTTGCTTTGTCTTCTCCTCCCTCATGCTGATCCCTTCCGTTTCAGATTGCCTACGCTGCAGTGGACTGTGCCAAAGAACAGAATCATGACCTGTGTAAGCAGGAGGGGGTTGATGGCTACCCCACCTTCAACTATTACAACTACGGGAAATTTGTGGAAAAATATACTGGAGAAAGAGGGGTAAGTGAAAGCAAGAGTCATCACCTGACACAGGGAGGAAGGTCTCCTCTGCCTGTGCTGCTTTGGAAATGAAAACTGAGGAGTAAATTTTTACTGTGCTGGAAAGATGTTTAACTGCTTGTTACTGTCTTACTTGGGTGAATCATTGTGTACCACACCCCTGTACATCTCTGCATTAGGAACATACTGGATCTGTTTTAGGAACATGAGAAGAGGAAAAAGGAGTAGACTTGGTAATGCTTTGTTGTGTATTTTATTCTTTAAGCTGAAGACTGCAAGTGAATTTGGACCAAGTCAAAGTGAAGGGTTTATTGCATGGGCTGCTGCGAGGTGCAGAAATGCCAGAAAATACAGAACTTGCTCCTCTCAGTTCTGGATCTGGATCATGTATATACTGCAAACGTGTTACGGGTCCACCAGGCTGCCAAATGGTGACAGGCCATTGGTTTTATAGCAGGGACAAAGCTGTCCTTTGGAGACTGGGGGAAACTAAATATCTCATTCTTCCTGAATCAGATTCACTCCTGGAGCTCAGGGTAGAAAGACCAATTGTGCCATCTAGCCCGTGGGCTGAAGTTCCATTATTTTGTCCTGCTCTAGCCAACTAATTATATGCTATGTGTACAAGGGGCAGAAATGGCATAATGCCTTTTGTAGTTGTAAAGTGCCTGAAAATAAGGGAGAAATCCAGTTATTTGTGTGCATTCTTTCTCATAGCCTCCTAGAGGGAGGTTGTTTCTCAGCGGAGATTGATTGCCTGGAGAAGCTAGGGCATGCAAGAAAAACTTGGGGTCTTCAAGCCATCCGGTATTTTGCTAAAAGAGCCTTGCCTGAAAGTTATTGCTGCTATTACAGCTCACCAAATTACAGAGAAGCATGAAGAAAAAAACAAATTCTGAGGTTCTTTGTCAGTCAGGATCTTAGGGAAGTCCTCATGGAGCTTCACCTCCCAGTTTTCTCCAGCATTAGGACCCCAGTAATTACCATTTTATGGTGCTGATCCAGGGGTTGTTATGGATACTGTGATTAGTTCCGATTAGTGGATCTTTCTTAAAAGTAAAGATGGCTGCAGTAGCCAACAATTAAGTAAAATTTCAGCTGCAATCTTTGTATTTCTAACCCATACTTACAGAAATGATATATGAAAGGAAGGATCTGTGGTGGCTGATAGAAAGAATTTAGCAAGACAGGAGTGCTCTGAGGCCACAGCAGCTGGGAGATGATTATCCCTATGCTGGGAAGTGGACTGACTAATCCCTTGTGTGCAGCCAACCCTTTCTTGGGTAGAATTAAATTACCCAACAGGAACATTGCAATCGCTCTGCTGCTGGCAACTGTGTTCCCCCTCCACCTCTCCTGGGACCTATGGTCTTCTGCTTGTGCAGCATCAAATTAGGTTTTGTTATCTCCTATCGTGGTAATACTGAAGGCAGTGCTTAGCACCATGCTTTCCATGGAGTTTCCAGGTCTGTTCACACATCTGTTTCAGTAACAAGGGATTGTGCTGTTAAGGGACTTCTCATCAGCATTGACAACACCTTTTGAACCACCTTGGCCAACCACCTCCTATCTTGCAAAAGAAATCTCAGGAGAGAGCAGTGGGAGCCAGGGGACTTGTTTTCTGTTCCTGATTCTGGCACTAAATCAGTAGATGTCCATGAGCATTTAGTTCGGTGTGGTCCAGCTGGTGTATCATCATTTCATGTGGGCAGGGAAGAAGAGGGATGATGTCTACTGCTGTGGGAGTAACATGACCTGCTATAGCAGGAGCCATAGCCAGCAGAGCAGGAGCTCTCAGCTCCTTACCACCCCACACTGGAGCACCAGCTATGGGGAAGAGCATGTCCCCCAGCGGTAGCCTTTAAGTTCTCCTCCACACCTCCAAGTGAACTGCAGTTCCAGAGTAGAGATTTTAGGGCATTTCACCCCAAGCAGTTTAAGCAAGGAACAGTCAGGACACCCTCTGACCCAAGCGTACTTCAAGTGACTTCCAGACACACAGCTGTGAAAAAGTCCTCCTGTGAGATCTAGTGATTGCCAGATGTCTTCAGATGATGTATGGCCAAAACCTGTCACTTCAGGTTTTTTTCAGTGGAATAATAGTAAGTAATTATATAGAGATTCTGTTGTTCAACCTCCTCAAAAGCTTCCCAGCTCTGGGTGTTTTTGTTTTGTTTTCTTTGTTTTGGTTTGGTTTTAAGTCAGTCCTTGACTTCTGCTTGTTATTCTCTACCTCTTTGTATTTTCCATCTTTATCACCAGTTTTGATTGGCGTGTTTCGGGATTACTTAACAGTAAAAATGGTGTTATTTGCCCAGACAACTACAACATTTGTGTACCAGTGGACAGTGTGTTCAAGCACAAGTGCTCGCACCTCCACCTCTTTGAGCCCTTTGAAATGCCTGCGAGTTGTGTTGTGTGCCCAGAGCTTTCCTTGGAGAAGGAAACTGCTGGCATCTGACAGCCTTAGAAATCAGAAACTGTAAGTTGTTGAAATACAGAGGTTGGCATCTAGGCATCCAGGTTTGAAATTGTTTGACAATAATTCTCATAGTAACTTGAAAAAAATGTACTTCTCTTCATCTGAATGTGTAGAAAAGGAGGAAGATCATTATCGAAACTGTTAAGGAATGAGGAGCGTTGGCAAATGTGCGTGTAGCCAACAAATGATCCACTAACTGCTTTCAGAATGACACAGGTAGCATACAAATGTGGCATGAAAATGTCTTTGAGCATTTTTGACAAATAGGCATTGGTGGCATTTCTAGGGACAGACAGATTTTACGTTGTCCTGTCAGCATTAAGGCCTTTTTCTCTGTGCCTCCTCTCTTCAAAGTTAGACGTGTGGCACCTGTGTGGATATTTTCGCAGTGGAGCAGCACTGGACCAGAGCACTGCACGACGAGGCAGAAGCAATAACTGTTCCTTAGTTTATATTCTGCCGTGGGATGCAGAAGCTAAAAGTGTTCTTGATGCATTGTTTTGGTTTGTTTGTAAAAATATTTTTCTTTCTTCAAAACCAGGAGTCTGGATTCACCACTTTCATGCGAACCCTGAGAGAAAGAGACCATGAAAGAGTAGGAAAGAAGAAGGATGAATTGTAGTTTCTGCCTCAAAAGAAGCTTTCCGCTGCACTGTGAATGGTTCCAGGTCTTTTGTCAATGCACCTGAGACTTCACACATTCTCAAGACAGAGACTTTTTTTTATAAACAGCCATGGCCATTTTGTACAATTTTGAAATAAAGTGAAACCACTTGATTTTTAAAAGAAAAATTAGAATGTTGCCATAATGTTTTAAAGAAAAATTAGCATTTTCTCTCATGTTGTGAGAGTATGCCCACTGACACTCCTATGCAATATTTTTGTAGTCTGTAGTGTGTCTGTAGGTGATGTTTGATAGGGTGATTTTTTTTTTTTTTTAAAGGTGTTGCAGTACATGTAAAAAACCAAGGGGAGGGGACACATTTTGTGTTTTGTTTTAAAACAGTGAAGGAAAGTCGGACTTGTAAGACACAGATTTATCCAAATGCAGTTTTACATTTTTGTGAAATAGTTACATGTTCTTCAGTGAGATTTGGGGGAACAATTTTAAGGTGCTCAGGGATAAATAAGGTATCTGAGTTAATGAAGACATTAACATTGACCAGTCCAGATCTATTGATTTCATTTAAATCTCTCTGGTCTTCAAATCAGGACTGTTTACATACCTTTATAGAATGTATTGAGTTAATTAAACCAAGTATCAAAAAGCAGCAGAGCATGGGTAAAATTAAACTAAACCTTCCTTTTTTTGGCATCAATATTGTCAATGTAAGTTGTGGCAGGAGGGATTACCTTACAGGGGTATACAGCTACCATTACAGGGTATACAGTCTCCCTTCAAATTATGATTGGGCCCTATCAAATACGTGTTGGAAAGTGTTACGTTCAATTGTTTTGATAAATGCGTAATACTTTTGATAATGCAGTAATTATGTATATTGCGTGTTTACATGCCAAAAGTTTATCTGCATTTGTATGCGGGATTTTTCCTTTTTGCTCTTTAAGGAGTTGCATAAACAATCTCTCTCTGACAAAATCTTTAAAACCTGTATTAGCAGCAGTTGAAATGTGTTACACTCTTGATACTTAAAAAATTATGTTGATCTGGAGGTACTCATGTCTTCACAGGAGGGGAGAGGGAGGGGCAGGAAGTTGTGATTCACTTTGAACTAAAAATAAATTTTAAAAAAGACAAGTATTTTCATCGTTAATCAGCCTTGTTCAGCTTCTTTCCTGCTGGGTGAGCGACTGTAGCTGGTGGTGGTGTAGGAAGAGCCAGCACACACAGGACGGGTGCCCACCACCCCTTGGCTGGGGACAGCCCAGTGTCCAGGTGTGCTGGGCGGTACGTTGGGGTGTTTGGCGGTGCGAGGGTCGGCCTCCATCTGCCTTGGCACTCAACAGGCAGACGAAACAGCTTTTTACAGTGAAGAACTGTGCTTTGAGTCTCAAATCTTCTTCTTGCTCCTCAGTCCGCCCGTCTCATTTACTTTTGCTAGTTTGGTTCCCCATTGAAGGCCATGCTAATGGACAACTCAGTGCTGTGCTGCTCAGGAGGTGAATGGCATCTTACTTCCTTTCTTGATATTTTTTCCCCCTCTTCTGTCTTGCCCAATTAATGGCACTGTATGTTTGGCAGTCGTTTAGCTGCTGAAGCCATTAGTGAATAATCTGGAATACCAGTAGCCTGATTGGCCTTGTATGGTAGCCAGCTTGTTAACCATGGCATCAGTTTGAACGGTGATGGAGCTGTGCCAAGTATCTTCTCTTATTAGGCACCTGATGAGTCTCTTCACTCCAAAAATCAGCTGCCTGGTAGTACATAATATCCTAGTGTGAAAGTAGCTTAATTTATTAAGTCTCTTACTGTGGGATTTTTTTTCTTTTCTGTTAGCGTAGTTACTTCGTGTGTTTAGTGCTTTTGCATAAGATCATGGTAATTCTTTCAAGCTATCCTCGCATTAGTAGCAAACTGCCTTGCATTTAGGAAATAATATATATTGATGCCATTTGATTTGAAACATGAATTCTTTTGCTTACCAGCAAACTATCAACTATGATCAGTCCAGAACTTACAGCATTTTTTTTTTATCTCAGAGTCAAAGCAGCTGGCATTAAAGAAATAGAGTCTCCAGAAACCCTTTAGCATTTCTGTGCATAGGCTGTGCCTACGTTTCTGCTAATTGCTGAGAAACGTAGACTTCAAAAAAAAAATAGCTTGCCAATGGTGACATCACTTGTCAGGATCATTCTGAATTATAGGCTTTAGTAAATGTTTAGGATAGGACAATTGCACACTGTGCTTCAGACCAGTAATTCCTTACAGCTGGTTACACCATAATAAAATTAAAATTAAGGATTCTCATTTTTCCCTTCAGTCTTTTGTCAGTTACATCTTGGACTTTAGGCATTCATTTTTTCTTGGCTAATCATGTGTTAATGCACACAAAATAAAATATTTGAGAATAATTTACCTTCTGTTACAGGGTCATGACTCATCTGGTTTATAGTCTGAATTGTTTTTGAAAAATACAGTTTTGAACACCATAAACGATTACATCAAATGGCTGACAAAAGCCTTAGTTACTGTGAACTAAAGTGTACCATGAGCTTCGAGCTTTGCTTCCAAACCTTTTTAATTAGTAGACCAGGTCTGGATCTCGGTTGCACTGTTGTAATTCTGTTCCCTCCAGCTAAGCAGAGGTGGGTGCTTATATTTGCTAGTGAAGGCAGTTTATGTTTATATTTGCTTCGGTCAAGTTGGAATTGAAATACTTTTAAATTTTTTTCTCCAAATTGAATGAAAAGTATCTTACATGTAAGAGCTCTTACTTTGTGTGTTTAAATGGTTGGGCATTTCACACATTCAGACTTTCCAGCCCATTGTAGCAGTTGCATAGCCCTTGTGGTTTCATAACCACATAGGAATTTCTGCCGTGGTTAAAAGTGAGTAATCTGGGCTTTCAATTCATGAATCATTTATCAGCAAGAAACTTAATTGCTGATAACAAATGGTTTGCAGTGAATCAGAGATTCTGCTCTTGCAATTACGGGTTTGCTCTTTCAGCCCTTTTAAGGTGTGATTCCAAGGTCTTGGACATCCACTACACCGTTAACCCTAAGCAGATTAAGTCTTGTTGAGAAGGGGTAAAATGTATACAGCGCGGAGAGGATATCATTTTTTTCCTCAGCATTGGCTTAAACATGATGTAAATAGCCCACAGGTTAAATAGTCCTGTGGAGTAGTCGGACCAAGAGACGAAGGGTAGCAGGAGTGTTTTGTGCAGACTAGTAGCAGCTGGATAGGAAATGGTTTTCCCATCTAATCATAGAGCCTGAGGTGTTGGATTTGTTTCATCCACTGAAGAGGGAAAAGGGAGCCCGAACAGGATCCCAGGAGAGTGAATACTCGGTGATGCGAGAGACTGAGGTTGGAGTCCTAAGATAAGCATAAGCTTATATCCCAATGCCCTGCAACCTGAAAGGATAATTTGGGTTCTGTTGTAAAGGAGTTATCCATCAATCTCTGACCCAGTAACTATGTCCTTATTTATTCAAACTAGAGCAACTAGTGGTGAGGGGTCTGGTGCATGAGTCTTACAAGGAGCGGCTGAGGGAACTGGGGTTGTTTAGCCTGGAGAAAGGAGGCTGAGGGGAGACCTTATTGCTCCCTACAGTTACCTGAAAGGTGGTTGTAGTGAGGTGGGATTTGGCTCTTCTCACTAACAACAAGCGATAGGACAAGAGGAAATGGCCTCTGAATGAATGGATCACTCTGGATCCAACAGCCCCATTGACCTCCAAGCCCCTCCGAACTTGTTCCAGTTGGGTGGAACAGCCTTGGGAATTTTTCTAAACTCCCACCCAGGCCAAATTAGGTTCCCGAATCTTGCTGACTGAACATTCTCTCAATAGTCATCCACAAAGTTAGATTGATATTAATGGTCAAAAAAAGATTAGAGGGGTAAGGTTTATGTCCTTATAGCATTTAATTGGGGAGTAAAAAAGTAGATGCAACTCCCATCATGAGTAAGCTCTAAGAGAATGCTTCAGTCTCATTTCAGATAGAATTGCTTCACGGATTATTTTGATTTTAGAGGTTTACTGCTTTTCAAAAGAAAAGTCAAGACCTGGTGACTTTGCCTACAGATCTTTTCATAGTCTGTTTTCCTTTTAAAAATAAAAAGCAAAATCACTCTCCATATTCTTTATAGCGCTATATTAAGAGAAAAAAATGTTGCCTGCATGGATTTCCTAGAATAATACTAAGCCCCTGCCAACTGCATTTTACAAACTATGAAACAAGCCGTTTACTCCAAATGACACTCAGGGGAGTGAGGACTGTTGTCCACGTGCACCTCATTTTAATTTAACAGGCTTACTTTAGTGTGATTGGGTCTGTAATGGTACACTGGGCTTGCAGGAGTAAATTCTGAAAACTGAGCGGGGAGGGGAAATCAGCTTTTATCAGCAGGTGCTGAGCGTCGGGGCCAAACGCTGGCGTTTCCTTTGCCTTTGGCAGCCCAGCGTCCGTGAGCGTTCCATGGCTCCGCTGGAACCGCGGGTGTGCAGCCCTTTGGCTAATCCGATTGTGTACATAACTGCTCTCTGCTGGAACTGATTGGAAACCAAAATTTCTCCCGTTATTTTATTTGGCTGGTCATGAGAAGATGCTATGCTTTCTCTGTGCATCCTGCTTTTATTTACCGATTAAGGAAGGAGGATACCTGGGTGTTTCTACAAAGGAAAAGACTCCAAATACCATTTTATCTGCTGGCAACCAGGACTCCTGGAACGCCTGACTGACCAGCGCTGCTGAAATAGTCCCTGAGAAGCACCCTCGACTGGCTTGGCTTTTGCCAAGGTTTTGGCAGGCACTGTATGATGCAATGTTGCAAAAAATCTCAGTATCTAAGGCAGCGATTTCCAGACTGTGGTTTCCGAGGAGTTAAGCTGAACTGTAAACTCTGTGTATTTATCAGCCTGCTGTAGCTGGTTTTGAGGTCTGCAAAAAGATGGTCTGTTAGCCCCAAATTTAGGGAATGACAGCTCCAACGCTGGCCCATAATTAAAGCCAGGAGGATGCCTGGGTGTTTCCACCCAGCTGCTGGACCTGGTCCTTGGTTTGTAAGATTCCTGCCCCTGGAAGCCCTCTGTCCTGCCCAGAGCACTCACCGCTCTTGCAGGG